GGCGTGGTGGGGCACGGGCAGCGTCAGCCCGACCGCTCAAACGTTGTCACACGCGAATGAATGAGTGAGAGTAAAAAAGGGCCGCGTGCTGTATCTTAGCGTCGCGTTGCGCCGATTCCACTTCCGATCCGTAGCGTAGCGCCGCGCGTCGATCCGTGGGGAGGGGAGTTTGAAATGAGGAAAAAGTCCTGGGGGCGGGGGGTAGGGGGGCTTCAGCAGCGGTGGCGAACGGTGGGTCACTCTCCTCAGGGCGCGGGGCGCTGTGCCAAATGAGCCGGCCGTGTCGTGTAGTATGTAACTGTTCGGTCCCCCTCTGCTCTGGCTGCATGTCCACCATGGCCATGGCACCATGGCAGGACAATGAACGCAATGATCACACATTGCAAATTAGTGGTGTACAGGGACAGAGAGGACAACGAACCTGGCCGTATACGAGCAACCCCCACCTGCTTTAGCGGGCTGAGGGATTTTAGTTGTCTAAATAATTATTTTCAGTAAAATTTTCAAGAATTATTTCCTCAAATCTATTATTTTCTTCCTTAAAGTTTGTTGCCTTGCAATTTCATGTTGCTTTATTGTTACTGTGTGCGCTCGGTGCACCACCGCAGCTCCACGGCTGCACAAATGACCGCTGTCCGTCCCCTTCGCCCGGCCCGACCCGGTGGTGGAGGTGGCCCGGGGCTGGCCGGAGGGCAGCAGGGCGGCGGCGAGAGTCACTTCCTGTCGGAGACACCCCGCGCCACTAGGACGAGGTGACGAGCCCCGGGGCCCGGTCGGGGCGCGGGGTATGACCGGCGCATTAGGCATTCTCGGCGCGGAGTGCTGGCCGCCCCGAGGCCCGGGGGAGAGCCGAGGTGCAGAGAATGAATGTCCACGTCAGGGCGCGGGGCGGGGCGACGACTTCCGCAGGTCCCCAAGGAGGGCCGTCCCTGTAACCTGTCCAGTCGCGGTGGTGACGCCCGCTGCAGGGCGTTCCAAGGCCGTCGGGATTTTTATGAATAATTGCGGGCGCGTCGTTTGGAACTTGCACGTCACATAGACGTGTTGTTTCATGTACCGGGTGTTTCATAAGAAGACACAGGTGCGAACAGGTTTGCCTGCGTAAGGGGGTATGGCGCCTTAAACGGGCAGAGCGGGTAGGCAAACCAGCCCGCACCTGTGTCTTTTACGAAACACCCGGTACGACGGCCAGGTATAATATGCCGACTGGTCCGTTTGGTGACGGAGTCGGTAGAGGGAACGATGGGCGTGCCAGCAGCTGCGGCAGGCGTCGCATCGAGCAGAGAATGCTGCCAACGAGAAATAAAAAGTCATGATCGCGG